CTGTAGATGAAAAGAAAGAGAATTGTAGTGTTAATGACAAGGAAGGTTTGACACTATAACCTCCTCATCAGTTGTCCTTCTTCCTACTGCTTTAAGTATATAAACAAATCTTTATAAAAATTATTTATTTCATTTTTTTAAATAGTGTTCAAAGTTGTGCTTTTGCCTGTAGAAGCAAAATGCACAGATTTGAGAAACTGAGGTAATAGTAAATGCAGAACGTGCTATTCCAAGGGTTTGTTTGAAACCTTGCCATAATAATTCTGTCATGCTGGGGCCTGCCAAAGTGCTGAATCTAGCTCAGTTGAGGGTTTAGTAAGAGATTCACATGAAGGTTTAAAATGAAGTCAAGAGGAGCATCTGGTTCCAGGTCTGTATTTGTTCAGTCTGGGTGATTTTATTGAGGAATTACTGTTAATTTTGTAATATCTAGGTTTTTGTGTTTGGTTCTTTCTTTTTTTATTTGGGGGGAGAGGGATGTGTTGTTCTCTCCCATCTTTGGTTGTAGCCAAATTCCAATAAGTTCTCATGTCCAGCCGTTAGCAGTGGTTGAGAACTGGATATGCTGAGTATTCTCTCTCTCTTCCCTCCTGTTATCTCTTACTCTCAAAGATCAGCTTATAGATACCTGTATTTAAAGAGAATAAAACCTCATTGTAAACTATTTCCAGTTATGAAGATGACCTCTGACCTACAGCAAAAGAAATAAGACTGTAAAGACGAGCCATGCAGAGCAGTTGGTGTCTGTGGCAGATTTGCCTGGGATGTTTTCTGAAGTACTGGTTTTTCTCTTACAGTTGCAGGCCAGTAGTGAGCTTTGCTTCACTGCACAAACACTTTGCACCTTTTTAGTTCAAGTTTTGAAGTAGACAGACACCCTTAAAAAAGTATGCGTGTAAAAAAAGAAAAAAAAGTATATATATATATAAGAAAAAGATCATAATTTTCTGACTTTGAATATCTGGTTTAATATGCTTATATACTGTAAGTTAAGGCTGACGTGAGGGTTTTTGTTACTGTCATTGTTTTAATGTTACGTTTAAGTTTGTGCTTTTTTGACATACTGTACAAATGTCTTACAGAAATTGGCTCCTAAAGCCAGAGCTTTCAGAAATGTAATTATTTTTACTTTTAAAGACATAATTATAATGCCTATAAAATTATTATTTTTAATAGCTTTATCTTCCCCCCACACACTCTTGCCCTATTTTTTGCACCCTCTATTACAAGGTGTCCACCATGAATGCAAGTGTTTGGTACTGTGGCAGCCCCTCTGCAGAGCACCTTGACCAGGTGATTTTTAAAGCAGCTCATTTCAGATTCCTTCCCCTTTGGTCCCATTCTCCAAGTGGTTTGTAGTGAGTGATAAGCCCACGCTCTCCTCATTCAAAAATCCAGATGGGGGGCTCCTGCCTCGCCCAGTGTGCTGAGTTCTAAAGCACAAATCAAAATACACGAGACATTATTTGGAAGATTTAGTAGCCAATCCTGTACTAGAATGTTTTTGTCTTCGAAACATAAAGAAAACAGGTTAGTTATATCCACTATAGTTTGGTGTTTGCAAAAAAAAAAAGAAAAGAAATCTATTAACTACAGTGGCTGGGGGGAAAAAACCCTGTAGTTCATGTATTTTTCCAAAGAGACTCTTTCTGCTTTTGGATGGGTTTGGTTGTTGTGGAGGAACAGGAAGGATATTGCAGTTTGTTTAGCAGTAAGGCAAAAAATAAGCAAACAAAGAAAAAACCCAAACCCACTTATATTTATCGAAAGTCTGATTTCTCATAATTACCAATTTAAGCTCTAATCCAGTTGAACACTTTGCACTTAAAGTGTTTATACTGAATGATTTCATGCCCTTCAGCTACTGGATTTTGATTTATATTTTACTGGGATCAGAGTCAAGTGGTGCTGACAGTCAGGGGTTTGGAACTGAAGGAAGAAATGCATTTGTGTGGCATTAGGTGCCCATCCTACAGATCTACCAAACAATTCAAAGAGAAGTCAAAAGCTTTACTGACTAGCTTAAAGATGGTAGTGTCTGCACACTGCTGCAGTCTACTTTGTAGAGTAAATGGTACTGATTATTTCATTGTTGTCATTTCTTGAAGTTACCTGTATATTAAACTCAAAGAAGAAAAAAAACACCTCAGTATTGTTAAAGAAAAAATTAAAACTATTTAATGAATAATATATTCAGGACAAAAAACTACCAAATGTCCAGAATTTAAAATAATACTTGTGCAGCATTAATGTTGCTGTTCACTTTATTAAATACATTGCCTACAGTTAAGAATCTGTTATGTTTTAATCTGTTAAGTTTGGCAACAGTTGTATGGGTAAAGGTTTTATCTGGTATCAAAGAAGCCAGAATTGTTATAAACCTGCATAGTTGTTCTGAATGTCTGCTCTCCTTTTTGTATCAGTTCTGCACTGCTGCATTTCTCACTAGCTCCTGAAGCCCTCTGAGCTTGTACAGTCCAGTTCCCTTAGATGTGTTTCCCCTGTCAAGATGAGGGAGCTGTTGTGCACAGATTAGATTCCCACAGTGACCCACCTGCTTCTGGAAGTACCTGGATGAACACTGGGTATTTTTGTGTTATATTCAGCCTGTGTTTTTTCTCTAAACAAAAGCACCATGTCATTTACTTTAATGAAGGACAGACAGTGAGACTTGAGGGTCTAAATCTGGTGAGGTACTAAGTCATTGGGAAGTCTTCTAGAAGGAGCAGCAGCGTGTGATAAGAGCAAGGCCTTTTCTTTGAAGCTCATCAGTTAAGTTTCCTAATTATCCAGAGCAGTAGTTGCTGTTTTATTAAAAAGCCTCACCCTGAGCATGCTTGGTCTGCAGAGCTTCAGGTCTCTCCTGTCTAGGCAATAAAACAAACTAGTTGTAGAAAGGAAAACTGCCTTCCCCCTCTGCCTGTCACAGCACTGCCAAACACATCAGAGGAGAATCTGAATAATAATATCTTAAAGATTTTTTTATTTTCCCTTTTCAAGCACTGCAATAGAATGTATTTCCTGTGTCTGTCTCTTCAGTAGTTGCTACCTACTAAACCAAGTCTTACTGATGAAGGAAAAATGTCACTGCAATGTGAGAATGTTCCCAAGTGCTGAAAGCTGGTAAATGCTGCAGTGTTACTTTTTCAGATGCTGTTGAGTTTTTGAGGACTCTTGAGTAACTGTGCATTAAAACGAGATCACAACAAAGACCAGCAGACCCTACAGTGGTGAGAAATGTTACTGAGTCTCTGGCATTGCTGAACATTGCATAATGCTCCATATTCTGTTGTCTTCCAGATTTCTTGGAAATATTTGTGCACTGTAGTGGGATCAGCTGAGTCCCTTATCCACTCATATAATGATCCCATACTGTTTATTCAGGCAATATCATAGCTAAAATCTGTGAGACTTTCACATGTGTAAAGTAATATCAGGGATGAAAGTTCTGGTGTTCGTAATTTCATGGATTATGTATTTCTCCTTAGAGGAGAGAACTGCAGTGGCATGGGTGCTTCAGTGCTAGCTGTGACAACATCAAAGGTGTGCTGGGGACAGACTATTATCAATGTAAGTTTAACTTAAAGATGACAGATTCACTCCTGGTGACGCAGAAGATTGTGATGTACTTTTATTAACCTTGTGGGGAAAGTGGAAATAGTTGCATGTGACTTATTGTGACCAGAGCCTTTAAATATTTTCATGTGAAAGGAATTACAGTCCAAAGGAATTACTAATGCTCATCAGTATCTCTCTGTCTCTTACTTATGTGTAACACTTGAGTCTTGGGCAGCCTCATTTCCAATGCAGATGCACAGATTTCTAAGGAAGGGAAGGATGTTCTGGATATTGTAAATGAAATGGTTCTGTTTCATATATGACATTCAGTAATGTCTGCTTAGGCTGTATTTGTAAAAAAATAGAAATTAATCATTTCATGTTCTTGAATGGATAACCCAGGGGCTGGAGGAGTTACACTATGTACATTTAATGTTTATGATCATACAAAGCATGTTGATTATAAAAATTATGTGCATAGGGAATTCCTTTAAAAGTTTTGTGCAATAAACTATTTTTGGTAAAGGGCTCCATGTTGTTTCTCCTTTAAGAGTTACCATCTTCAATTTGGTTTTGGGCAGTAATTTTTATGTTGATTTTTTTTTTACTGTTTTCGCTGTTTTTTCACATGTCTAAACTTCCTTGTGCTTGCATTTGTATTGCATTTATTTTTTTCTCAGTCAGCTGAACGCATCAGGGAAAACCGAGAAATTCCCTGGCCTGAATTTGCCAACTTCTTGAGTGTACAAAGTGGAACAATGCGGAAATGTCACCTTGATTCTAGTTTAGCCAATTGCAGTGATGAGGAGAGAAATTATTCTACCTTGCCTGCAATATTTGTGTGAGTTAAAGGGATGTTATTTTCTTCTTTAAGGACAGGCTCTTAACCCAGCACGTGACCGCGCTGCTCGCGGTGCAGGTACGTGAGGCAGGAATGTTGTGCCTGGGGGGATGGCCGGTTCTTATCCGTGAAGGGACTGCTTCCCTTCTCCTGCATTAGAGGCTTCCTTCTTCACGGCTTTCCATCTCTGCCGCCTTATCCGGGACTACGGCAGCACTTCCAGCTTACTGCTTGGGCTGAGCCCTCCTTTCTAAGGAGGCCTCTCACAGTGCTTGTGCTGGCCGAGGGACGAGCGGCTGCACTTCGGGCCGTGCCCGCCAGGCCCGGGAGCTCTGGGCGCCCTCAGCGCCGCCCGCAGCGCAGCCGAGGGCACCCGGCCCCGCTCGGAGCTCGGCCGCGTGTCCCGCCGGAGCGGCAGCGCCGCGCCCGCCTCGGCTCCCCAGGGCCCTGCCCGCTGTCCCGGTGAGGCGCCAGGAGGCGGCCGGGCCCCGTCAGCGCCGGGCGGAGCCGCCGCGGAGCCCGCGGGGGGGGGGCGGGCGCGGGGCGGGGGAGGCGGAAGCCGCGAGGCCGCGGAGGTACCGTCGGTACCGTCCGTGCCCGGGGCCGCGGGCCGGGCATGGAGCGCTGGGCCGGGGCCGCCGGCGGCTGGGGCTCGCTGTGGGGAGCGGGCTGGGGCCGATGGCCGTGCTGGGAGCTCCTGGCCGCCTGCGCCGTCATCGGCGCCGTGGGCTGGCTGCTGCGGCTGCGGGACAGGAGGCCGGGCGGCGGCCGAGCGGCGGCCATCGCTCCTTGCCCGGCTCCCGCCGCCTCCCCCGCTCCCACCGCCGCCGCGGGGAGCCGGCGCTGCAGCGGGACCCGCCCAGGTGAGACACTCGGGCAGGTCGGGGGTGGCGCGGCCCCTCGGGCCCCGGGAGGGTCGGCACCGGGCACCGCCCGCGGAGGCCGCGCGGCCCTTTCCTTTCCTTTCCCCGGCCCTTTCCCTTCCCGCGGCCCTTCGCTTCCCTTCCCGCCGCTCTTCCCGCGGCCCTTCCCGCCTCCCGGCGCTGCAGCCCCGGGCGGAGCTCGGGGACCGCCCGCAGGCCCCGCCAGGCCCGGCCCCGCCGCCCTCTCCCGCTTTGTCCCGGCCGGTCCCCGGCGCTGCCCCACCCGCTCCCCCCGCCCGCCCTCCCCAGCGCTGCACACGGACACGCGGTTTTCTTTCGTGAGAAATTGTTCTTATTTCCACCCCTTCTTGTTTTCCCGTGGCTTATTCCGAGTTTGTGTTCAGTTCTCTTTCAGCCGCGTAGTTCGGAACTGCTGCTGGCTCATTTGGCCACGGGCAGTACAGACAAACCCCCCACCCTTTACCATGGCCACGGTTGTGCTGCCATGTGCAGGTCCCGGTACAGCCAAAGGCAGGATGTGACTCTCAATTCCTGCCTCTACAGACAAACAAACAAAAAACTCCGTGTTTTCTTACGTTACTAATTTATTGAAAGATTTAATGAGTAGTGGAGTACAATAATTCTGTGATCCTTAAGTCAGTCGTTCATTCTGCCGTGGGACTGGTCTTAATTTTTTTTGGAAACAGGTTCTGGTCGTTTCATGCTGATGCAGTGAGGCAAGGGAAAATACAGTTTCTGCCCATTCTTTCGGGTTTTGGTTGCTTTGGAAGAACCCTCAAACATGCGATTGTTAAAGCAGTTATTCCTATTAGTAGAGGTAACTTGCTTGGGCTTGTGTGCTGAGCTGCAGGAGGGAGCTGCGTCAGCACTGGCTGTACTCTGGATCGTTTGTAGTTACATAAAATGCATTTTAAGGTTCAGATAGTCCCCTTTTGCACCTGCATGTAGAAGACGATTGAAGGATTATCTTAAAACGGGCAGTTGCTGTTTCGCAGGTTTGCAAGTCACACCTTCTGTTTTGGGCAGATCAAAATAGGTGATGCAGGTAAAAGTCAATGAATGCTTACCCAGGGTAGCTGAAATCATCCTGTCAAATACATTTCAAGGGATTTCTCTGTTGTCCTTCCAACACTGTTTTCCCTGTTTCCACAGCAAGCTTATTGTAGAAAAACTCTTCATCCTAACAGTAGATCTTAAACCAAAGATTGGTTTCTTCACTGTTGGTCTGCTTTGCCATTTTGCTTTGGTTTAGTTGTGCCAGAGTTGTAACAGGCACACAAAATACTTTCTTTTACATAATGAGAAAGCAAATTTCGAGCATTAAATTTTAGGTGCCAAGTTCTATCAAAACATAAGAAATCAGAGAATTCACTCCTTCCCAACACTTTTGGTTGTTTAACCACAAGGCAAGAGGAAGGATTTTTGTGTGTTCCTGCCTGTTTTCCATGCATGAATTATATATTTGTACAGGTCTGCTCTTCTGCAGAATGATTGTGCTAGTTCTGAAACCTAAAAGTAGGAGCCTGAGTTAATTCTTTAAGGCATTATGTTGACTCTTTAAAGTATTTTCATTGAGTTGATTTTGCAATAAACTTCCTCACATCTGAGTTTCCATCTTTACTGTGTTTTTTTCAGTTATGCAGTCTCAAAAAGAAAATCCTTGGAACAGCGTTTTTATATTATTTTGACTGAAGGCTGCATTTTATTCTTTGATTCAAACACAATGGCACCACATTTATTTTTAAAAAAAGACAATTAAGAATTGGAAACAAGTGAGAAGATCTTTCACATCTGTCCTTGCAATCTTGAGTCAGATAATCGAAACAATGAGGTTGCTTGGAGGCTCAGGAGTCCTCAGGGAACTGGAATCCTTTGGGGAGGTGGCTCAGCAGCACCAGCTGTGGCTTTGGTGCAGTGTGGTGGGTTTGTTAAGTGGAAATACTCTCATTTCCCATCGTTTCAGCAAGGTTCCAGTTAATATTTGAAATATTCAGGAACAGAGGTATGTTCTCTAACCACAGACATTCAAAATCAGACATTCATAAAAAACAAACAACTCTCTAAGGAAAGAGCCCTCAAGGGAAGCAGCCATCAAACTCACATGACTGTCAAGTTGTAATAATTGAAAGTCTGCTTAAGTTTGGCATTAAGTATATTTTCATAGTATTTCCTTCAGTTGTGGTTTTCACAGCAAGAAATTTGTATTGGTATCATGCTGGTCTTAGTATCTTCTCATTGACCAGTGCAGAAGCTGTCAGTGTGGATTACATGGAGGGAAGTGTATTATCATAGCAGAGAGAAGGATTTTCCTTTGGAAAGGGAGAAATTCTTCCAGCTTCTGCTTGTTCTTGGAGAGGGAGATCTGAAAAGATCAGTTGTTTTTGTCTTCTGGCTGTTTGCTCTCCAAACAGGGCCTGGGAAACAACATGTTGTGCACATAATTCCAGCCTTGCACCATGGCCAGAGAAAGCCTCCCCTGGTTGCTGCATCACACTTATGCCTTAAGCTTTTGTCAGGTAGAAATTCTTAAGGAAACAATGGAAATAGTGCTGTGCTTCTAGCAGTAGGTGCTGCCCCTCTTCCTGGGGTTGACTGGTTGCCATGTCCTTGTATTCCATTGCACACATGGATTGTGCCTTTCTTGGCAGGAATCAAATATTATTCTGGATTGAATTTTCACTCCAGAAGAAATTTGAAAAGGACAAGTGAGAATAAATTGTAGGCTGTACTGTTAAGTACTTGAGAGAGGAGGAAGTAAACTTGGTATAGATCTGACAGCTTAAGATGTTTTTAATGCCTTGAGTTGAAAAGTATTTTGTCTTCTCTGCACTGTGAGAATCTCATAAAAATCAGAGAAATAGTTAGGAGACCCTTTTTTCCTTGGCTTTAATACAACTTTTAAATAGCAGAAAAAAAGTTGTGCTGTTTTTTAACAGTTTCTCTGCTGTCTTTTTGCCTTCCCTGCAGGTGAACTAACAATGGATACAATACTGTCCCGACTGAAGAAGCTTGGCCCGGATGAGCTTAGAGAAGAGATTGTGAGAGCAGGACTGAAATGTGGCCCCATTACTGCAACTACCAGGTTTATTTTTGAAAAGAAATTGGCTCAGGCATTGTTGGAGCAGCAGGGAGCACTGGAGGAACCAGGATCTGCTCTGCCAGAGGAGGCTGCTGGAAATGTCCCGGCAGCAAATCACAACGGCCATGGGAGTGCTGCTGAGGAGCCAGACTTTGGGTACTGTGTGGGTCTGAACCCTCCAGAAGAAGATGCTGTGACACACATGAACTGTTCAGCTGCAGCCTGTGGAGCAGGAAGTGTTGATTCACAAACCACAGCTCAGACACCATCCAGAGATCCTCCACTGTTCTACGGTGTCTGTCCAGTTTATGATGACATATTGGCCAGGAATGGTAAATACTCATTTCCCTTATTTCCAGTGATAAGCATTTTACAGTCATGTCTAAATAGACCTTTTCTTTGTAGCAGGGGATATGAACACCACTACACTGGTTTTGTAAGCATTGCTGAAAAGATTTTTTTGTTTCTGTAAACAGTATTTATTTGATCTTCTGAGGCATAGAAACATGGTTATAAGACATCCCAGGTGTTCTGCTGTAGTAGTTTCTACTCATGAGGGTCCTCTACCTAGTGTAGCTCAGATGAAGAAAATGATTTCCTATTGCTACTCTTGGGCCCATATTGTGCCTCTCAAGAATAAAAAGTAATCCTATAAATAAACAATTAAAAAACTATTTATACTGTCATCAGTTGAAGTTCAAAGCATCTTGTCTAAAAGTTTTCACATTTTCTTTCTGGTTTAATGCCAAATGGTATTAAATGCCAAATTGTATCTGGAAGCATCAGCCATTCTTCACATTTTATTTATGAAGACTACAATAAGGAATTACTAAATTATTTACTCTGAGACAGTAGTTTCTTTCTGTTAAAAAGTGAATATTCACATATTATGAACAATGGAATTTGAACAAATTATCGTTAAAAGGGGAGGAAGGAGAAGGATTTGATTAATATCTGAGGTTCTGTGTAGAGATTTAAAATTGTGACAGCTACAAAGTTGGACTTTCTGAACAAGAGAACATCAAAAATAATGCAGGGTGAATAAACTTGAGTTTGCATTTCAGTCTGGATGTGAAATGCTTGTTGAAGCTGGCCCATTAGAAAGGATGTTCAGGTATTGATTGGTAGGAATGGTCAAACCCTGTACGTGTCACCTGATGTGAGGAGTGTGCAGGAGTCTTCTGTTTAGTTTCTGAGAGAGAAGATTGAAAGGGGCTTTTGGTTCTTTTGGTTTGGAAGAGAAGCAGTTTGACACCAAAGCTGGAAGGATAATCTGAGAATTTGGTAACCTGTTTCTAGGATCAAATCTGAGATTATTGAAGTAGTGTAACTTTGGTTGTTCTTTATTGCAGAGAGAGTACATGTTTATGAAGATAAAAAGGAAGCTCTCCAAGCTGTTAAGATGATTAAGGGGTCTCGTTTTAAGGCTTTTACAAACAGAGAAGATGCTGAGAAATTTGCTAAAGGAATCTGTGATTATTTCCCATCTCCAAGCAAGTCCTCCTTATGTTTGTCACCAGTGAAAATGGGATCCTTTAACAGAGGTGAGGAGGTTCATCTCTGTACAGTAGATGTTATATAGTCTGTTCATTTTTTTTGTGAGAGAAGAAGCAACAACTATACTACCAATATACTAATAACAGGAAAAACTCAAAGGGTGAAGCACCTTAATAAGCTGAAGTTTAAAACAACATTTGTTTTAAATGAAAAAAAGCATTGCTACTTTTCTAAAGCTGAAATGTGGGTCATGGTCTGCATAAATATGTTGCTTAGTAGTCCCTGGTCATATTTGTTAGGATTTGGTTTTACTCACGGACTTCAGGATTTTCAGGTTTAATAAGAGACTGATAAAATTGCACAGTATGTTAAAAACATATTTAATTGTTAAGTATATTTATAAGTTCAGAAGTAAAATGGTAAGCACTGATCATACTTCCCAGTGTTCCCAGTTGCTAGATTAAAGGGATCCAGGAGTCACAGAACTGCAAAAGCAGTTGTTACCTCTTGCTGAATTTTGCTTTTAAGTTTGGATGGGAGTAGACTGGTAATTATAGAATTTACCCGTCCCTGTTAAAGCCTGAAACAGTTTTACAAGATGATTAATCATTTTCCTCTGCCTCCCTATTACTAACTACTAGTGTACTTAAATGTCTTGTTATTGACCTCTGTGTCTTACTCCTGTACATTAAAGATGCAAAGTTAATATGGAGTTTAGAGTAAAAGCTTTTCTTGGCCTGGGTCTGAAAAGAATGTATCTTAGAAACAAGTGATTTGTGTTTGATAGATGGCTTGTGCTCCCCTGAAACCGAAACTGCTAATAAAGAGAGAGCCAACAGCTATAAAAGTCCACGGACTCAAGATCTCACGGCTAAACTTCGGAAAGCTGTCGAGAAGGGAGACACAGCAACGTTTTCAGAACTTATTTGGAGTAACCCTCGCTATCTGATCGGGTCAGGAGACAATCCAACGGTTGTACAGGTGAAAAAACCCAACAAAATAGGAAAATCCACATTCCTGTTCAGTGGGGTAGCTTTTGAGGCCTGATAGCAGAGCTGGAAGGAATGTTTCCTACCTTTCCTTCAGGAGGTCTTGTTTCAGTCAGTGCAAGGTTTCCCAGTGTTTGTTGATAGTAGCTGAAAATGAAGAGAAGCCAGGCAGTTCTCTGTCCTGTGTGAGTCACCCATGATGACTGAGAGTTCTCTGCTCCAGAAGAGCTAAAGGCACTGTGTGCAGTTCTGCAGGTGAAGAACAGTTTTATTCTGTAGTGAAAGAATGGTCTTGACTTCATATAGTATTGATGTCCTCCAAATAATTGCAATCTTTTTAAAAATAGACTGATTTTAAAGACCAGGGTAGGGCCCAGGCTGTAATTAGTTGTTCCTACAGCACTGCTTACCTAACCACCACTATTAAATTTCAAAACCATGTATAAGGTGCCATTTAGCAAACACTGACAATCTTAGCTAACAAATGCCTTCTGTCAGACCAGCTTTGTGAAGCTGTTAGAGTTTTCTGTGTAATACAACAAAGCACAGCTAAATTTTATATAAATATATGTGTGTATACATATATATACATTTTCTTGCTCTTTTTATACACTCAATTTCCTACCTCCTTTTATTGTGATATCTAAATATATCTTCTTTGCCACAGTTTTGCCCTGCATGTAGAAAAAGACCATAGCTGAGTATAAGAACAATTGAATTAATTATGAGAATAATGTGGGTGTAGAGATGCATTATTCTTTACAAAAATATTAGTATAAGACTCAGTGTGGGAACCTTAATATTTTCACAGTGAAATCAGTTACATGTATGGGTGTAAGAGAGCTGTTTAGATTTTGGTTCATTCTAATGGTGGTGGTTTTTTTCCAGGAAGGGTGTAGGTACAATGTCATGCATGTTGCTGCCAAGGAGAATCAACCTGGGATCTGCCAGTTGCTGCTGGACACTTTGGAAAATCCTGAGTTTATGAGGCTGATGTACCCCGATGATAACGATGCCATGCTGAAGAATCGCATCCAATATATCGTTGACCTTTACCTTAACACACCAGATAAAATGGTAAGATTTGGGTGGTGACCTGGTTGTCATAGTAATGGAAGGTGTTAAGGATGCATGAGTGAGATGGAAAGACAGAAGGGGACACTTGTAGCAAAATGAGCTATTCATGAATATTTTTTTTGTGGGTCTTAATAATCATTGTTCTGCAGTATGGTGGGAGAAGATTTATCAAGAGCCTGGATGATTAGTCATGACATTTATTTAATTTTCCCAGTTTCAAAATCAAATGTGTAGTATTGACCTTATCGTCTTTCTAAATGCATATGAATTTTTCCCCTTGTCCCACTGCAGGGATTTGATACTCCACTGCATTTTGCCTGCAAGTTTGGGAATTTGGATGTTGTTAACGTGCTTACCTCACACCCAGCTATTGTGAAAAATCCAAGAAACAAATATGATCAAACTCCAGCAGAAGTGAGTCTCTCCATGTCCTCAACAAACACAAAAATGTTATGCCTGATCAATATTTTTCATGTTCAGACATTTAGTAAGTGCTGTAGATAAGGTGCTAGTGTTATGATTTAAGTGTAAAGTTTTGATAACACTAGAAGTATTTTATGTTGACTGTATCCGTGGAAAAGTTTTAGATTTTATAGATGTGGGTGTGTTTTAGTGGTTTGGTCTTCTATGAATTAGAAGTAGAGGGTGAGATGGAGAGAGGCCAATACTGTGACTGTTGAAGAAGACACATTACAGTTGATTTGAAAATGAGGTCTTATGCTTGACTAACAACTAAAATTATATTAACAGGTAGTTTGTGAAAGAAGCAAGAATAAATCTGCAGAATTGAAAGAAAAGCTAAGAGAGTACTTGAAAGGTCTGTATGCAGAGTTTTGTGCTATATCAGACATGTATTCTGGCTCTTTGCTGTGTCCTGTCCCGTGTGCTTTCTGAAGCAGTTCAGAAATGGTGCTGCTGTGCAGTGCTGTGAAGAGGAAACCAAAACTGAGCAGGAACAGAAAACTTGCTGTGTTTTAAGTGCTGTGGTCAGAACTCTTAGTGTGGATCACAAGGTTACCCTCCCAGCTCTGGACTCATTCAGCCAGCCTGGAGCAGAGCATTTAACCCAGAAGGAACAAAGCCCTGGGCAGGGCAGGAGAGGGATCTGTCACCCTGGGGACTCCTGTCATTTCTTGGACACAGCACTTCCTCTGTCTTGTCACATGTGTGTTCAGGGGGTTGCAAAAGGAGGTTTTGAAATTTGTTGAAGATCCTGAGGGAAGGCCTCTGTGTATCCTTGCTCACATACCATCTGTAAGCAGGCACTAAATACTGAAACAGTGAGTTTGAATTACAGCTGAATTTACTAGTGAGATAAAGTCAGGTGGTTAAGTGTCTGGGTGCATCGATCCCCCAGGAAGAAGCAGCAGGCTGATGTAACATAAACATCTCAAGGAAGCTTTGTATTCTTTATTTTAGGCCGATACTATGTGCCACTCTTGAGAGCAGAAGACAATTCCTCAGCTCCTGTCATTGGAGCTCCCTGGTCACCAGATCAGACGGATGATGGTCCCCAGAGGACTTTATTTAAATACCCTGGCAGCCCTAAAGATCCAGTATTGTCCATAAGAGCTTTTGCAGGCCCCATGAGCCCCTCAAAGGTAAGGAGAGAACTTTATACCACTCTAATGCCTATTTTTTCCTCTTTCTGAGTGAAGAACCATTAGAAGATCCTGCACAGTTCCTTGTGTGGTGTAACTTGCTCCTGGTACAGATTGTGGCTCTTTTTCTTGAGGAGATTGTTCTCCCTCTATGGAGAAGCACACAAGCCTGTACATATTTTTTTTTATTGCTGGAAACAGAATGTGGTGTGAAGAAGAAGAATGGAAGTTCAGTCAAAAGAAAGTTTTCTTCTTCCTCTTAGAATCTCTTTGAAGAGCACCTCTGTCAGACCTTTCATTTCTTACAGATAATTGCTGTAACTTTCTAACATGGGGCAAAGCCTTTCAATGCAGCTATGAATCAGGTTGAAAAAACTATGTCTTTATCTAATTTCTAGAAATTGCCACTGGATGTTAGAAGCAGTTTATCACCTCTGCTTGTTGAATTAACATTTATATATTTTTCTAGGTGGAAAAACTGACAACCAAGTAGTAGGTGTTGGGATAGTTTTGGAAAAGTATTGATTGTGTAGCAGAAAAGCAAAGTCTTTAGTTTTCAGAAGGAATACTTAGATACCTGTTAAATATATTATAAAGTTATAGGTATTTCTTTGACTCATTTATCTAATAGGAATGTACTGGAAGTATGACAGCTTTAAAAATGGTGAATAAATACAATGGAGGACTTTGTGTCATCTGGTGCTTGAATTTTTCAAGACTGAGTTTTACCAAGATGCTTAATGTTTTTTCTTCTAAATGATCATTTTTCTGTTCAACTGACAGAAATTTAAATACCATTTATACTCTGAAAAGTATTACTTTAGGGGGTAAACAGTTCATCATTTTGATTGCTGACAGATATTTTTAATGTCTGAATGTAATTCTTAGTCATCGTTGTGATTTTTGTCATATAAAGTCGAAAAGTGTGGGATTGTACCAAAAAAATTCCCTTGAGGCATTCCAACTTCAAAATAGCAAGAATATATTCTAGTAGTTGTAGTGATTCTGTGCACATAAAAATCCTAGAAACCAGTGACCAAGAGGGCATTTGAAATTAAATAAAATTATAGTGACATGGCAAAATTACAAGACATTTCTGTTTCCTGCTGCACACAAATTAAAACCAGGCAGAACTGGTGTCTGCACAGTGTTGATTGCACATTATGGTCCCTCTCTTGTCATGAGCAGTTAGGAGATCAGAGGTAACTGATCCTGGGAGGAGTAGCTTTATCCTTCATGGCTGGAGTTGAGCAATACCCGTGGCTGAACTTGAGTTCTTTGCCTGTGGACAGCAAACAACTGAACATCTTCTACACCTATAGGTAGATATTTAGCCAGGACTGAGTTGCTTCTTGTGGTGGGGGGTAGTTTTTTAATTTATTTCTGTTTTTTAAAGGCTGAAGAATTTCGCAGGCTTTGGAAAACTCCACCTCGAGAGAGAGCTGGCTTCTTTCACAATGTCAGGAAATCTGATCTGGAGAGAGGTGTTGAAAGAGTTGGAAGGTATCTAAAAGATTACCAGTATAAAAAATTGATCATAGAGCAATTAAAAGCAAGAGACTGTGCTGAGAGTCTTTGTTCAGTTATTACTGAACAACATGTTGGGGCAGAAGTTACTGCAGAAATATTAAATGAAGTATATTGTAGTGGGATTTTTACTGTATTTTTGTGTAAACACAATAGCTAAAATGTGAGACCTGGCTTTCTTAGCTTTGGCAGTAGAGACAATTGAGCTGTTATTGATAATATATATGGAATGCTTTTCTCCAACATTGACTTGCCTAATATTTCAGAGATGTACAATTACAACCTGCTTGTTCTGGGAAAGTGAGGGATTGTTAAAAGGGAGCAGAATGAAAAGATCCTAATACAAATGTGCTGCTTTATGAAAGCTGGGGGGGTGTCCTTGCTGTTAAAATACCTTTGATCAGCAGCATAAGGAAAAAACATACTTTGTTAAAAGCTGACTGGATTTCATTCTTTAAAATAATCCCTGGTTTCCTCCTGCCTCTCCCATTCCCAAATAGAACAAGCTGTTGAATGCAATAACATTCAAATTTGGTCTCCATCAGTGGGAGTTCATCTCTGTCTGATGTCTAGATACAGTCATCTTAAAGGTGGCAATGTTTGTGCTGCAAACTGTAAAATAGTAGATTAAATTTGAAAAATACTCTAGAATGAATGAGATGATACTTTGTTTGCTGAGGATGTTCTGTGCTTTTGCAGACTGTTGATTGTTGCAGAATTGTGTTGCCTAGTTGTACATTTGTGCTCCTGTTCATAGCTGATAGAATGTGATCAGAAAAGTTATTGTCAAACTGATATTTCTGTCTTCACAAATGATTCGTTTTATTTTATTTATTGCAGGGAGTTAGCTCATGAACTGGGGTTCCCGTGGGTTGAATACTGGGAATTTCTGGGCTGTTTTGTTGATCTGTCTTCCCAGGAGGGGCTGCGAAAATTAGAAGAGTACCTGAGTCATCGTGAAATGAGCACAAAGGCTCAGCAGGAGACAGGGGAAAATGAAACCTGCAACAGATATAAAACACCCCAGCCCTCGGGTAAGGAAAGGGCAGAGCTGCAAACAACACTTTGTGCCAAGGGACAAGAGGGAGAGAAAAAGCTTGGTGCCCAGGGGAAGTCCTGTTCACCTGTTGTGGTTGCTATTATTAATCTGTTATCCAAACAATCTGATTGTAGTACTGGAAAAGTAGCCAACAACACTGTGAATGTAAGAGAAGTACAACAGGCTTTATGAGATGTTCTTTATCTTTCATATGAAGTACTTTATTTGATTATAGCCCCCAAATGAAATCCCTATAAGAAAACCTCTATATTCAGTATGTTCTCACTCAGAGCATTTGGGAATTCATCCTAAAGTACAGAATTCTGTAATCTGTGGGTACAGAATAAATAACTTTTTACAATAAAAGAAGAATTATTTACAGTTGAGGGTGAAAGACAAGGAGCAAAATCCAGGAAAGCTTTTATACCTTCTTAAGCCACTACTTGCCATGTGTTCATGGAAACCAACACTAGTACCAAATCTTTGTGCTCCTTCCTCCTTTTCTGGGCAGTTAAAGATCCAGAAGGGCTCTGGTGCTGGGATAAACCTGGCTTAAGACCCTGAGGGGTAGTCATTGGACTAGTCATAAGGCTTTGTACTTTGGAAGAGATGAAAACTTAGGCTGTTTTGTATTAGTAACATTTACCTGCCCTATTCTGCTTTACCCTGAGTTTGTCCTTTGTTGCTGGTTCATGGTTGAAGTGGGGGGTGGAGGAAATGCAGTTCTCAGATGACTGGGATAGGAAAGGTTATTTGCAGAAAATACACAGCAATAATGTTGTCATTTTGCATTCGTAGCTTTAGTCAGGTTAGTTCATGCTGTTGTTACATAAATAAAATTAGAGAGGGCTTCAGGAGATAGAATAAGGCACAAAAATTGGGTATTTGCTGCTGGTTTATTTACTCGATACTTCGTTGAAAGTCTTTTTACGTGTTGCTCTTATTAAAACTGCTTTTCAGGGAAGAGCAAAAAGTCCTGCAATTCCATTTCCGTGGGTGCATTTTTGGACGAGGATGAGGATGACATGAGCTTAGAGGAAATCAAAAACAGGCAGAACGCGGCGCGGAACGTCAGCCCCGCGGCGTCGTCCCGGGAGCCCGTGGGCGACATCGCCGAGCGCGACATCCTGGCCGTGGGGCGCGCAGCAAACATCCTCCCCACGGCCCCACACCAGGGGAAGGGGGCTGCCCCCAGCAAAAATGGGTTCTGCAGCCCCGTGTCCAGTGAGAGGATCATCAGTGACAGGAAGCAGCTGCACGATGGGGAGGAACGTCTCGTGTCGCCCGTCTCCAATTTGATGTCGGAGTTGGAAAGCCTGTCCTTCCAGGAACAGGAGCTTGCAGGAGGATCCCATCAAATCACTGAAAAAACTGAGAACGAGGGGATTCTGGACAAGGCCTGCTGTGCAGTGTCACTGGCAAGTTCTTCTGAGCCAAGTGTTACAGGAAAATCTGGAGAGGCCAAGTTAAGGACAGAACACAAAATGCCATTAGAAAAGGAGAGGCTGTCTCGGCAATCTGGGATTCTGACTAAGGAGGCACAACAGCGTCAAGAACTTTCTTCCCAGAAGTTTCTCTTGAAGGCTTTACCCACAAATGACAATTCTAAGTTATTCCTGCTTGGGTAAGAATTGTCTTAATTTTGAACACTTATTTTTCCTTGGGTTTCTGTTTGCAAACACAAGATGCTTTTGACAAAAGGTTGAGGTGATGTGACACTAAACACCACTGATTGCACTCAGGCTCGAACAGTCATCTGAAAAGGCCTCAGTGCTTGTACAGAAGCTGTGCAGTTCTCTTGCACCTCGTTACCTGACCATAAAGCAGAAGGGAGAAGTTTGTTCTGAGACTTCTGTGTAATTACAGAAATTTTGGGGGGGGGGCTGCTGCACAGAGCTCATGAGGAAGCTGTGTGTGTAGAGCACAGTAATCTCTTTGCTTAGATAAAAACCAAGTGTTTTGGAATTGGGGTGTTTATTGCCTAAACAAATCCATAGTTCTCTTTTCACACAGTTGTGTTTCTGTTGTAGGGAGCAGCCCTCGAAGGTGGATGGGGATGTCCTGGCAGCTCTGGAAGGAGCAGAGATCGATGCTCAGAAATACCCAATGATTTCCAGGTGGAAGCTCGCAGTGCAGTCCTACTCCTCATCTGACAGGCAAAGGTATTGCTGCAAATGCAGTCAAATGCTCACAAAACCTTGTTTTAAATACTCAGCTGTGTTAACTGTTACTGTGTTTCTGAAGTTAATCACCAGGCCTTTTTGGCTGGTGTCTGTTCACAACCAGGAGTTGTGCTGTTGGTTGGTAGTTCACCCCTGTTGTGGATGCAGTGCAGGAACTCTGTATTGCTCTGCAGTACTGAGCTTGTGCAGAGCAATATTAAGATGAATTATTATGTTCAGCCATTTTTTTATGACTGTTTTTATTTTTACCCTTCATTACCCCAGTCCAAAGGAATTGTTCGTGTGAAGGGTGGTGTGTGTTAAGTTTTTTGAGAAAATGTCGTGTTTTGCCACACAGATAATGGACACAGGCTGCCTCTGTTGGGAGGCCTGAAGACATGTTATGCTATTTATATGTTTTATTTTTAATATTGCTGGTTTTGGGGACCCAAAGTGACAGTTTTTCACACAAGTGGCTCCCTGTGGTAATTTTACTGACATTAAGATTTATTTCCATTGTGGCAGACACTGGCCAGAACACTGAGGAGTCCCTTGCTTAGGCAGCCAACAGTTTATACACGGTCATGATGAGTTAAAGTGCTGCTCTCCTTACTGCAACCTTCTTTAAAAAATGCAACATCACTTCTTGTTTCTTTCAGTTGGCCCAGTCCAGCTCTGAAGGCAAAATTCCGGTCCCAAACCACCGCTGCTGGCCTTCCAAATGCTTCAGTGTATCCCAGTTCAGGAAGAAACAGTCCCATACCTGGAAGTCCAGGAAAACACGGCAGTGCCACCTCGTTCCCTGCAGAGCCGGGCAGCCCCGGGCGCTACAGCCCGGCCTCTGTGCACCAGGCCCTGCTCAAACTGCGCTACCCCGCAGAGCCCCCTGCCCACTAAACACCAGGCATGGCCCAGACTGCACCTTGTTCTCACTGATTGATTGGGGGGAAACTACAATGTTACTGAAGTGACAGGAGGTTTGTACTTGGCTATTTATTTTTCCTCAGTTGAGGACAACTGTATGTTTAAAAAAATGGAATATATGTCTTAATGCCATATACAAGATATATACTGGTGACATGCAAGAAGTTCGTGACAGTGCAGTTGTCCAGTAGCTACAATTTAACCTTTGTTGCCACTAACACGGTGAGCTGAGCCCTCCCTTAGCAATGGTGGGATTTGCTAGCACTAGTTATTGTTATTGTAATGAACACATGGTCCTCAACTGCCTTTCTTTACCTTGGACAGGCCAGGAAAAACATCATCAGCAAACAGAACCTTAGGAGAGGAAAGAGATGGCAGGAAGGGAAATGTTCTCCTGCTTGCAGCAGGAGCTCTGAGAGCGAAAAGGCCAAAACCTGCCTGGGTAATGCAAGGACAACTTCCCAGTAGGGAACGGGGCTGTGAAACCCTGTGCAGAACCAAAGTGTTTGTAGCAGCAGCCTGGGCTGGGCAGTTCCCCCCACACTCCCCTGTCTGTCCGTGTGTCCGTGCACAGAGAATGGACTCTTTGCTTGTTACCAACCCCGGGATCGAACCAGTGCTCTAGAAACTGCTGGGATTCCTTTCCAGGGTTGTGTAAAGATTAAGGAAAAAAAAAACAAACATAAAAATTAGCTGACTTTCCCCCCCCCCCCACAGAAGCTTTTAACATTAGCAGATTTTAATAGTTATTGCACAAAAGCACATGAGCAATAATCTCAGCAAATTTACCAGCAAGATACCTTAATGGTCTAGTTTGTAATATATTAGTGTGGTAGCCAGTGGGCCATGAGGTGGCTCCTTCTTTCCCAACTGCAAAGAGAAAGGAGTGAGGACTATAAATATTTTTCTTGAAGTCTAAGCTTTTACTGTCTCCAGCCTTGACATGGTAATGAGTTTCTGTTACAGCAGTCGATAGTTTTATTCTTCAGCCTTCTGTAAGAATGACTTGTTTGGACAGCACAGTGCTGGCAGTGAAGAAAGCTTTTCAAAACTCCAGAGTTTTCCATATCAAGCCTAATGGTTGTAATGTTGCATGAAAGGCTTCCAGAAACAGAGCTCTAAGGTAAAAAAAAAAATTAATGTGATGAGAAGGTGAGGCTCTGGCACAGCTGTGCTGGTACGAAGGGCCGGATCAGGGAGCATTGGTGCCCCACAGGCTCTGAGGAAGCACCTTGGAGCTGTCAGGGAAGTGCACCAGGTTAAAAACACCAGTGGGAGGCAGGAGGGGTCGGCCCAGCTGCCCCTCGAGGGTCCCCCCAGTCCCGGGGCTGATTCCAGCCCCTCAGCTGCTCACACGGCAGTGACTGTTCGTACACCAACTGTGCACCCTCCGTAGGACAGACTACAACACTGCACTTAATGCTTTTGCAAGTTCAGTAGTGCCTTTTGTAATATATTTTTTTAATTAAATTTTTGTTCTTTTAGAAGTTGAAAAAAAAAAAGTGGCATCCACTTACTTACTATGGGCAGATAAAACACAGTTTTTCTCTGGGCTTTCTGAACAGGATGTCTTTTAATGTCTCTTAAGTCTGATTATCTGCTGCGATAGCTCTCCACTGGGGGAGAGACTCCTCTTCTAGAAATTCTTAAAAAAAACCTAACAGGCTTATTTTGCTCTTTTGTTAAAAATAAGCCTAGTTCCATTGAGCTGGACATTAGAAAGAGCTACTTTACATAAATGCCTCTCATTCAGTCATATTCCAGACACCAAGCAGGGGCTTGAGTGGGTGTCATGCTTTAAGAGACATTTAAAAACAAAATACAACTCACAAAGATAACCTGCTGTTACATTAACTGACTTTTTTTATACAGGTATTTTTTTGTTGGTGGTTGTGTTGTTTTTTTTTTTTTTAATTTGTTTTTTTGATGCAGCAAGCTCCATGGTCTAAAACATTTTAAGGTCCCACAGTTTTACCTTGAGAGGGTTGGGGTTTGTTTGGGTTTGGGGTTTTTTTGGGGGAGTTGGTTAGTTGGTTTGGGATTTTTTTTTAATAATTTAATATTAATAAGTTAAGCCTTTATCATTCTGGAGAAACAACTCAGCTCATCCCCTGTTCCAGCCACACTGACGGGTAAGTTGCTGCAGGGGCAGCTGCTCTTCTCCACACTGGTCCTTCTGAGCTAAGAGTTTGTTACTGAGCCAGGAGACTGATACTAACACTCTAGTTCTTTGTCCTTTATACTGTTGTTATGCTTTACTTTCATTTTTTTAATATTTAAATGTATGGTACTGCTATGTACATGTAGCCAGACACCTCCACACCCCCTCCACACACCCACTCCTCCCTTTCACTTTGTAATTTTGGTTTGGTTCGCTCAAGAATGTTTTTTAACTATGTTCTGTAATGTGCATTAGTCCAGTTGTACTGCAGAGCTCATTTTTCTAACCATGTGTTACTTCAGCTATGACAAAAATAGCAATTTATGTAGCAATTGGATCATTTGTGATTGTGAAGAAAGCCCTTCGACACTGAGCCTGTGGAGACACTTTAAATCAGAGTGATAGTGCTTGAATTGTGTTTTCTTGGCCAAAAGTTCACTTTTAAAGGTGCAAAAGATTAGTTGTGGGTTTTGTTGGTTGTTTTTTAATTAGCAAAGTGTCATGTTAAAAATGCAGAACAACCCCACTTTCTATTAAAAACCAAAAGAACAGCTGGAAGTGTCACCCTGTGTTCAGTGTGTGGGACAAGGGGAGCAGGAGCTGGGTTGATGCCACGACAGGGTGACTCACTGGCTGGTCCAGGCCTTGCTCACACAACTACCTGCATCTTTGTGTGTGTGCACAGTGACTGCACTACACCCCCAGAGCTTAAAGGACTGCTTATAGTGCTGAAGAGACAGGAACTCAGAATTTGGTAAAAAAAGTATATATTTAATTTTAAATTTCATACCTTCCCCTTCACCTTAACTGTCACCAAAACTCATTAATTTGTGTACTTGTGCAGACAGGTGTTGTGTGTCTTCCGGTTGCCCACCAAAAGCCTGACACAGGGGGTGTAAGGGGTGTGTGAGAGACAGTATGTGTGCACACACACACATAAAAATACCCAGCACATTCATCTTACTGCTGTTGGTGCTCCTGTTCCACGTGGGGTAAGTGACACAGCCCTGGGTTTAGGCTCCAGCAGTTCCCTCTGTGCTGGCTCCTATCCCAGTTTATATTTCAGATGGTTGGAGCTAAAAGAACAAAGTTGGTGGGTGAAGTGTTGCCCTCAGCAGCCTGGGACACTCCCTGTGCAGCCACACCTGCTACAGCTGCTCATGCAGCCACTTGGCTGAAGAGACAGGAAAGAAAGACAGACCAAGTATTTTATTCAAAACTTTTAAAAAGTTAATAGACAAAAACTGATAAATTATTCTCATTGCATCAATGAGAGAGACGTCATGATGGTTTCTTCTTGCCCCCACCCCCTGCACTACACAACAATCGTGGTTTGTTCCCTCCTGGCCCCAGTTCCCCAAACTCCTCCTGCTGTAGCAGTGTGGGATCAAACAAGCCCCAAACCCCGTCTCCAGAGGTTGTGTGCCCCAATTATGCTTCATACAGCTCTGACAGGAGTGAGTTCAGGCTCTAACCAACATCCTTATTGATAAGAGAACCTGTGAGACAAGTCAGTTGTGTTTGCTGTCCCCAAGGCAGACTGTGCATACAGTGACATTTTGCAAGACTGCAGCTTTTAACTGAGCCAAGTTCCTCCAGGGGTTCAGGTGCCCAGCAAAGAGCTGGAATGGTGCTGAGCCCTCCCCTCAGCAGTGTCAGAGCTGTAGGAAGGAGGCACTTGGAGCATTCTGCCCCAGGCCCGTCCCACACATCAGCCTAGAAATGCCATCCCAGGGACACCTGTGCACCCCTGCAGCAGCAGCAGCAGCACTGGAGAGCCTCTGACCTGCAGCACCACTCCTGCAACTCAGGGGTGCCATTTCTCTGCTTTTTAAGTAAGGTATCAACACACACAAATCAATGGGAGAGAGCACTCAGCAACTGAAAGCACTTTCAGAAGATTGCTGCGTTCCTTCCATCTTACTGCTCCAGACTCACCTCTACAGCCTTCTCCAGACCATGTTTTAGTTAAAGGCTTTACAAAACTGAAAAACGTTATTCAGAATACCTTAAAGGACATCCTGAGGATGGCAGAACACTTAATATAAGCAGCAGTTAATTCTAGCACCACAGCTCTGAGGCAAATGGGGGTTTTACCCTCTTTGCTTTATGCTCATAACCTCCAGGCACAGTTTACATGGGCTTTTTGGGGGCAGAGGAGAACAATGACACAACATAAATATACACACTTAAGAGCTTACAAAACTGAAGCTTTATCCCTTTGTCCTTTGAACAGCAGAATACCCTGTTTGTCACTTCTTCTGCAGGAGCTGTAACAAGCTGGCTTGTCTTTTGTTTTAGCTGCAGTGAGATAAGAGGCTGTTCCCACACCAATCACTTTCCTGCACAAGAAAAATATCCACAGGAGCAAGCTTTGGTTAGAGAAATTCACGGCAGGGTGGGGAAAAAGTCAGTGCTCTTGCAACTGCTGAGCAGACATTCAATCTCAGTATTCCACAGCTCAGCTTTGAGTTCTGGGGAATACTTAAGGACTGGACAGCTTCAGGCTTACAAAAGTTTCTTCTTTTCTGGACTGAAAGGCAGATATGAATATGAAGGAGGCAAGGGGCTAAAGGACATTTTAAGACAGCATCACACCCCAAGGTAACAAAAACTCTAGTGGTACTGTGGCAGAACGTGCTAGTGCAAAGAGGCCGAGGCAGCTCCTGGACAGCCATCCTGTCTGCTCCTTCAGGTGCGAGTGATCTTGTCTGGGGGCATGAAGCCCGTGTCCCCCAGTGTCCGCAGGGCCACCCTCCCGTTGGGACGGATCACCAGGTGAGTGATGCTGCCATTGTTGAGGGACAGTCTCAGCCAGCCTTCCGGGGGGAACTGCAGTGCCCTGGGGAGAAACAGACACAGGTGTTACTGTAACGGGCCTTCACAGCATCGCCCTCTGCCCCACAGAAGGGGGGAAGGAAAAAAAAAATGGTTGGGCATTCTGCAGTTTCCATGTCAATGCTCCCAGCCAGCCTCAGAAAAATCCTCTTCTTGTGGAACTGATATAAAATCACAGCGTTGGCAACTGGACCGGGGCCAACAGTGCCCTGGGATAAGCAGAGTCCAGCAGATGGGGGTGATTAGTGCTGACAGGATTAGTTCAGGCCGGCAGAAGGCAGGAGCTGAACACAGGCAGGTTGCCGGGGGCGCTCTGAGCGACCTCAGCACAGACAGGACAGTGCAGAGCACGGCCCAGAGCACAGCCCAGAGCACAGCCCAGGCTGTGCCCGAGGCAGCTGCAGCACCACAACCCCCTGTGCAGGTGGGGACAGGTGGACAGCAGGCTCAGCACCCCAAGGGCCGCCTGCACAGAGCCCGGGCGTGGGTGGCAACGTCCTCAGCAGCCACTGCTTGTTACACACCAGTGCACCAACACAGGCAGGGCAACAACCTGAGCACACAGACAGGCTCACTCCAGGGGCCTCAGGGTGTCTCTGGAATAAGTTCACCCAACTCCTTTCCCTCAGCTACATCATTCCCTGTGAGGGGCAAGAAAAAGTACCTTGTGCCTTCTATAGAAACACAGTATCACAGCTGGTCCCCAGCTATTCTGAAATTCCTGACCCAACAGGAGCCCCATCCACTGTATTAAACAGCTGGAAAAAACACCACACTGTCTTAAACACCTTTTGCCTCAGATACTGAGGAATAACTTGGTTTTGGCTCTTATGACAGTCTTGTAGGAAGCCCAAGAAATTAAATACCAGCTCCAGGCAAGCTACATGCAAAGGAATGTTACATGGGACATGTTCAACTGTGCTGTCAGACAGCCTGGAATAGAAGAAGAAATGTTAAAAATAAAGAGGGAAGGAACAGCAAAGAGAAAAAGTATGTAAGTATTTCAGAAAAAGCCTCAGTAGGAGCAACATGATATTTTTTGGCACAGGAAAGAATATTCTGTTTACCTGATCAATAATTTTAAGTACAGCAATTTTGAAGAGCTCTAAAGCAGCCAAGAGAGCAGAAAGGATAGCACTTAACTAGCTCAGCTAAATAAAGCTCACTGAAGTTGTTGTAGGTATTGATCAGATTAAAGTTTAATCACATCTGTCCTGCTCACGACAAATGATCTTACAGACAGTGCTTTGTTGAGAGGGAAGAGGAATAAAACAGACTCAGCTGGCTGGACACAGAGACAGGCAAGGATCCAGAACTGTTTTCTCCTTCATGAACAACCCTGATGTTATCGGAAAGATCCACTGTCCCCTTAATCCAATACTGGATGTTACTGCAAAAACACACTAATGCAACTTGAACATAACTCAAAAATCTCCATTAGTAAAGAATTCCCTGAACTAAATCAATCTTTCATTATGTGAGATCAAATTCATGTCACCTTAAGGAGACACATCCAGTCAGATGCTCTATTTGTTGTCTTTTCCAACAGTCACACAGGCACTGTCCTCAGGTTTATGGAAGCAGCAGCACATGGTATTAGAGTAACTGTTCAGATGTACCAAAAAGCTGAGTCTCACCAATTTAGCCATTTTTGCTT